TAAAATATCTAACTTAAATATAACATAAAAACCTTTTTAGTAAACCAAATAATCCCAACTCACTATCCAAAAAACCATTATTATATATATGAAGACCATCAATGTGTAACTCACAAAGTCGCAAACTTGTTCTCCCTAAAATTATGCTAACCTGCAACCAAAGAGGCCTCTTTTTGCAGACAATCCAAAAAAATGTGTTGCTTTCCATATGTGATGCTTTGTCTAATCAATCAACCTGTGATAGATTAAGAGAAGTATCAACCACAGTTCTCAATGTGAATATTGTCAATGCTTAAGTTGCTATATTAAAATAGTGCACTTTATACTAATTGAAGGCATCGTTGAAACAAGAAAAGTTAAGCACAAAAAACAAGGAACTGCGCCATATGGTTCCTTTTCTGAAGTTTACGAACTCACTAAAATGGCGTACATTTCTTGGCATGGAATCAGCTAATTGTTGACAAACGAGAGGAAGTCATGTGAATTTTGAACACTAGTAGCACAAAAGTATATGCCTGATTGATTCTCTTTTGCAGTAGTAGTAGTAGCAGCAGTAGGTGCCAAGGGCTAGGTGAGCTCCTGTGGATGATTTCGGCAATAAATTAGAACAAGGATGAAAAAACTTATTGCTTCCAAGTTAGGATGTAATTTTCACGTTTTTTAGTTCAAAAGTGCAACATGAAACAATGCAGCTCCATGCGAGAAAAAGACACGCACGCTTACTATAGGAGGCAACAAATTTCCAGCAATAAGTTCGCAACATTGTTAATTACAATATTTAGGTCCAAATATTTGACATTAGATTAATAATTAAAAGCACAATTAAGAATTAGAAAGTGAAAAAAAAAAGGAGTTAAGACATGACCAGAATTATAAGCTATTATTATGATTGAATTCGAATGGAAAGAGAAATGTGGAAGTGATTAACACCCATCAACCAAAAAAATATGCAGATGTAGACAATGACGATTGTAGTATCCCTGTTGACAGGTTCATCATCATCGAACATGTGGGAATACATAAAACAATAAAACAAATAAAAATTTTAAGAGCTGAATGTCAAAATAAACAATTAACCCACTGAATTTTTTTCCTCTTTGATAAAGAATTAACTTTGTTGGATGGAAATTAGTTCCAGTTGACAGATCGGAGGGTTCATAGGAGGCTGGGCTTCGGCTTTTCTTCCGAATTTGTTGGCTTCGGGTTTTCCTATCTTTACACCTTCTTTGCACCTCGCTCCAAAAAGAAAGGAAAAGTGGAAGGAGGTCGTAGATAGGCCGGCGGCAGATAGGGAGGACGACGGAGGAAGGGCGATTTTTCTCTGGCTTTACAAAGAGGGAAGAAGGATTTGATAAACAAAAGAATAAAAGGAAAATAAAAGGGAAGGTGGAGGGAGGCCGTAGATAGGCTGACAGTAGATAGGGAGGATGACAGAAGGACGATGTTTCTCTGGTTTTACAAAGAGGGAAGATGGATTTGATAAACAAAAGAACAAAAAGGAAAGGAAGAAAGAGAGAGCCGGACACCACGTAGTGTAAAAAATGTCTTCAAAATTAAGTAGGGCTATAGCCCATGAATGCCCATTAAGGAAAGTCCAAGGCTGGTGGGCTTAAATCCATCCTATTGTATAAGTCTTTGGATCCATTTTACGTTTTGCAGTCCATGTCAGATTCATCCATGCACAGGTTTGAGTTTCTATAATCTTTATATCAACAAAAGTTTAAGTAATTTATATTTTATTAACGATAATCCCTAAAATTTGAATATAAATAAATTTTAGTATATTTATATAATACTTATTATGTAATGAATAATTAATAATAATAATAATAATAATAATAATAT